TATATATATATATATATATATATATATATATATATATATATATATATATTTATATATATATATATAACCCGTTATGACCTACAAATTTCAAATTTCATTCAAATTTCATATATATATATATATATATAACCCATTATGAGCTAGAACCCGTTATGACCTACAAATTCCAAATTTCAGACAAATCCGTGAAAAAGTGTGGCGAAAATAATTAAAATACCGAATATGGGAAGGTACAGTTATATGGAGAATATACCAAAACTTGTACCTATACATACAATGTTTCGCCACCGCAGTCAGAACCCATTATGACCGACAAAGATCAATTTTTATTAGACATATCCTTGAAAAAATGTGACAAAACCCATCAAATACTGAATATCGGGAGGTACCGTTATATGGAGGCTATACAAAATCGTAGACCTATACATGCAATTTTTTGCGACCGGAGCTAGAACCCGTTGTGACCTACAAATACCAAATTTCAGACAAATTCGTGAAAAAATGTGGCGAAGATCATGAAAATACCAAAAATCGGGAGGTATCGTTATATGGCGACTATAACAAAACGTGGACCGATATATCTCATTTTCAATACCAACCATCCTAGAGACAATACAAATTGTTCTGCTAAAAGTGGACGTGTATATATATATATATATATATATATATATATATATATATATATATATATATATATATATATATATATATATATATATATATATATATATATATATATATATATACATAATCAGCATAAAAAACTGGATGTCCGTCTGCCTGTCTGTTGAAATCACAATACAGCCCACATTATTTGACATACAGCGTCCACTTTTAGCATATATATATATATATATATATATATATATATATATATATATATATATATATATATTGCGCTGCCTACATTTATTCTACCACTATTTAGAAGAACACAACGATAAATCTCTATTCAAACTTATACTTAACCATTTATATGAATTATTGTTTATTAAAGCACTGCCTTTTCTTCTTCATAAAACTATTAAATCGTGTTGTTGTTGTAGTTCGGTGTGCAAATGTCGAGCCGTGTATATCTGTGCCTCACATAAATCTACATGAATACAAAATACCTTAATATAATGACATTGTGAATATACAAACATACCGATAAGCAGGATAAGGTTTATATACATTAAATGGGATATTTATTCATATCCTTGCACAGAAACATAAACACACACACACCCACAAACGCAAATATCCCTGGTTTGGCAGTCAATATGTGATTATTTATAAATTCATTATCATAACCATCATCGGTGGGTTGAATTTGTGTGGGTGTTTGTGTGTGAGTGTGCGTCGTAGGTATTTTTTTTATTTCGGTGAGCATATTAATTGAAATCTTATTTAAAGTATTTGAAAAGCCAAAATACTTTTAATCTTTAATGGCTGAAAATATGAGGTCGTTTGTAAATTAAATTATAAATAAAGTATGAATGGGTTGCAATGTGTGTGTGTGTGTGTGTGTGTGTGTTCGAATGTTACGGAAGTTCGATTTAGGAGAATAGATAAACTTTGCTTTCGTAGAATTAATTGCTGGACTGCAAATGATTTAAATTTATCTCATTATTCATAAATGCGGCTGCAGCTCAATGAAATTCATTGGAATTAAGATTTAACAAAAAGAGGATAATAGAGTTTAGAATTATTCTTAAAATCATCATTGTTTCAGTGTGTACGAGCAAGCAATTTTGTAAAATGTTCTGAAAGACACGTTGATATACAGGGTGAGATAAAACAAACTGCAACAAAGTCAAATGCCATAATGTTAACATTTTTTTTTAATTTCATTGAATGAAAGCAAAAAATGTTGGAAATAGCATCAAATTTTAGAATAACTTTTGATTTGTTCGAATTGGTCATCTTTGGCACGAATTATGGCCTTCAAATGGCCAATGAAACCGTCAAACACTGCCCGAATGTTGCTCTGCGGTATTTCGGCCCATTCCCGGCAAAGCGCTCGACATTTCGGCAATTTTTAGTGCCAACCTTGCTTCCCAAAACAATCCAGAAACAATAGCCAACCGATTGGTATCCGGAGATTTTTGGTGGCATTTTGTACCATGTTTGGGTGGTGGGTGCTGAGTCTCTTTTAAATGTCCAAGGTCTGCGGACCAAATATTTGCATGCGTAAGGCTTTAATACACCCTCTAGAATATTTTCGCGATAATATTCGGCATTAATTCTGATGCCACGGTTCATTAATGCGAAGGGAGAGCGACCATCGGCTGTTATGGCAGCCCACACCATCCCCTGGCCGGCGCTTGAGTTCTGGTGCCCAACCGAAGGTGCACATTTCAGCTGACCTCATTGGCAAGTAAACACGATCATTTTGTTTGCTTACAAAGTGCTGGACAACGAATGTGTTCTCATCGGAGTATACTAAATTCGGCAGTTCACCATTTTCGGCCTAGCAAAGCAACTCTTTAGCTCTTTTGAGTCTATTTCTTTCTGTTGCGGTGTAAGTTCTTGCACTTATTGGAATTTCAATGGCTTTGCCCCGACCTCATTTTTCAATATTTGCCGAACGGAATATTGCAGAGTGCGATATGTCCAGCTCACGAGGCCATTACCACAAGTGGCTATCGTTAGAGCATTTCAGTATTTAAATGTGAATAAATCTTTTGTGTTTCGTACCATCGCTTGTTACCGTGATACTGGTAGCGTAGGCCGACGTCAAGGAAGAGGACGGAGAAAAACAGCAACATCAGCAGAAATGGTTTGAAAAGTAAAAAAAGCGACTTGATCGAAACCCGCGTTGTAAGCTGAACATATCGCAATATTCCATTGGGAAAATATTCAAAAATGAGCTCGGGGTTAAGCCATTGAAATTCTAATGAGTGCAAGAACTTACACCGCAAAAGAAAGATAATAGACTGAAAGGAGCTAAGGAGGTGCTTCGCTTGTCCGAAAGTCGTGAGCTGCCGAATTTGGTTTTAACATTTGTTGTCCAGCAGTTTGTAAACAAACAAAATTATCATGTCTACTAGTCAAAGAGGTCAGCTGAAAATGTGGACCTATGGTTGTCCACCAGACACCAGAACTCAAGCGCCGGCCATGGTGATGGTGTGGGCCGCCATAACAGCCGATGGTCACTCTCCGCTCGTATTAATCGACCATGGCATCAGAATAAATGCCGAATATTATAGCGAACATAATCTGGAGGGTGTATTAAAGCCTTGGTCATGCAATCATTTTGGCCTCAGACTCCAATAGGACTTAGCACCATCGCACTCAGCACGCGCCACCGAAGAATGGTTACAAAATGAGGTTCCTTGCTTCATTTCCAGCGCACAATGGCCACCAAAATCTCCGAATATTAATCCGTTGGACTATTGTGTCTGGAGTATTTTGGAAAGCAAGATTGGCACTAAAAAATATCAAAATGTCGATCACCCCAAGCAAGCGCTTCGCCGGGAATGGGCCAAAATACCGCAGAGCAACATTCGGGCAGCGTGTGATGGTTTCATTGGCCGTTTCAAGGCCATAATTCGTGCCTAAGATGACGAAATCGAACAAATCTAAAGTTACTCTAAAATTTGATGCTATTTCCGACATTTTTGCTTTCATTCAATAAAATTTAAAAAAAAAATGTAAAAATTATAACGTATGACTTTGCTGAATTTTTTATCTTGTCCTGTACATGATGTGCCAGAAAGTCCTTGAATAATATTTTAAAAGAAGCCACATTTCAGAGTTAGACAGTTATAAAAAAAAATATATTTTTTAAAAAGCCTCTTGTAAATGTCAAAAATTCGTTAAAAAAATTAATAACTTATCTGGGTCTTTGGTTGGGTTGTCTTTGGAAAAAATAAATAATTGGAAATATTCGTCTGTTTATCATTGAAAAATGCTGTTGAAAAAATGCAAGTTTAGAATTTTATGCCGGGCATGAATACGCCAGTGAATATTTCGAGTTATTGCAAGCGGAATGGCAAAGTATTTTTACCTATTCCAGAATGTTCTGAATTTTGGAGAATCCTAATTGGTTAAATTAGTCTATGCTGTTCCCAAATTTCCGAAAGCCCATAATTTTTACCTAAATAATCTTATGCCCCTGGCATATGGTCAAACTTTTTCAAAATCCTGATCCACTTATAAGTCGACGAGATATCAACGCTGATGTGGTAGGAAAAAAAACTCTGTAAAAATCCACCTTTGTTGCTCTGAAATCCTAAAACAAAGTCTTTAAAATCTACGTTTTTAATAGGGTAAGTGTGCCTAAGTTCGGCATGTCCCAGTAGTCGGCACTTTTTATTTTTAAGCCCAAATAAATGAAACTATTATAACTAAATGTATTTTGTTTACTTCAAATATACTGTCAGCTATCTTTGTGTACAATTTCGCTAAGAAAAGATGATTTATTATAATAAAAATTAAATTTTTGTCTGTGAATGTCCTCAACAATCCATATTCTTAAGAAAAGTACAATAAAGACGTCGAATCAGTTTAACTAAACACAAATATTATATTTTAATGAATTAATTTATTATTATTATTAATTATGCTTACAGAAAAATTGATATGCCGACTGTTGGAACATGTCATACCGACAATTAGCAAGTGGTGCCGACTACTGGCAAAAAAGCATTGTTTTAATAAAACTACAAATTTATGAAATTTAATAAAAAGTTATTGAAACTTTATTTATTATTGCAAAAACTATACAAAATTTCGAATCTGAATAAATTAACTTTGTAATAATTGAACATTTCCATTCAGAATTGTGAGCGATTAAAAACGCGAAAATCCTAAAAGTGCCGACTAGTGGTACACTTACCCTATGTTGCTTTGTACATTGTATATCCTCGCAACATGTTGCTGAACATGTTGCCCATAATGAAATCCCTACAGCATCCATCTCATGTTCTTGGCAATAGCATAAATCATACGCACTCATGGACTTCCGGTTATTCTCAATACATTTTATGTTTTCAAGAACGTGTTCTCTGAGAGCAAATGTCTCTCAATTATGGCTTGCAGAGAGTAAACATAAAACCACGCGTTGCATCTTTCCAACACACGCACGCACACACACAGAGAGCGTGCCAGACAACATAATTTCGTTGGCATAACTGAAAAACACCGGTTGAGGCATTCAATCGAATACCATTACATGGAAATATGAAACACAGGCACACACACGTGCATGACATGAGAGCAGCATTGCCATGAATGAGTGAGTATGCGAGGCAGTGAGTGACTGAGTGAATAAAGAGCGCGCAATACTCTGGACATCATCACCTACCTAAACAAGTGGAAACTCTGATTGAAGAACAGACTAAAGAACAGGAAAAAAATACCAGTAGCAGCAACTGAACTACATCAACAGCATTCAGTAATGGCGAGGTCCAATGGACCATTTCCTGACAGCTGCATAAACAGTTTCAGCATGACTGTCGCGAGGATAACAAGTGGCGCGGATAACTAAAAAAAAAATAAATAAATTGAAACCGTGAGTGTGTGTGTGGAAAAATATGAAATAAAAACACCAAACAAGAAAAAAAAAATGAAAACAAAGGCATAACAATAAAAAAAAGAAATAACAACAAAATAAGAGATTAAAACAGCAACAACTACAACTATTGGCAACCAAACAAGCAAGAGGAAATAACGCTTAACACCTACATGGCTTGCATTTGCGAGTAGCATGTGAAAAAAAAAGGTATAGTTAAGGATGTGTGTGTGAGTGAGGGTGTAGATGTGTGCCTGAGAGCATACAAGTGTGGAAAATATAGTAGTTAAGCACACATGAGTTTTCATACATACATATTTGAATGTGTATGTATGTATGTGGTTATGTGTAATTTGCGAAGTAAATTCGCCAGAAATATGCGTACTTCAGAGAAAAAATTCGATATTAGCATTAACCATAAAATGATGGGTAATACCAGCAATAACTACAACAAAAACAAACATCAGCAGCAGTGGCAGTAGCAACAAAAACATATCCCGGGGACTTTAAACTTTAAACGAAACAAATTGTGAGCAAACAGAAAAATAGCTACCAACCAAAACTAAAAACAAAAAAATAGTGAAAAATTGCAACAAATGAAGTGCATTGAATTGGAAAGAAATAACAAAATAAAAGCCCAAAAAGAAGTTAAAACACCAGAAAAACAGGGATAAACGTAAACGAGGAAAATGGCAAACTAGTAAACGATGTAATGAAAGGCAAACGCATTAAGTAAAATCAATAACATCTCTGTAGAAAAAAAAAATAACATCAACAACAACAAAATGAAAACAATTTACCAATCGCAGTCAAACAAAAGAGAGAAAAAAAAACAGGATATCGAAGTAAAGTAAAAATAAACAATGAAAAACCAACAAACAGCAACAACAACCACCATCCACGAATGCAAATGAAAATTAATGAATGAAAAAAATAGATGGCTTGGTAATAAATCAACTCACGGTAATCGCTGAATGAATGAATGAATGATAAATTAGCGGGAGAAATGAAAATGCAATTTCGCTGGGAATCTGATTAGAAGAAGAAGAAGAAATCACAAAACTAAGCTGAAAAGGGCTCACTATTTATACCCTACACCACATAGTGGTAAGGGTATTATGTCTTTGTGCATTTGTTTGTAACATGGAGAAAGAAGCGAGATAGACCCATAGTACCTTTTGAGGATCTCCATAGAATCACTTTCTAAGTTGATTTATGCATGTCAGTCCGTCTGTCCGTCCGTCTGTCCATGTATCTTGTGAACAAAAAGCAGGTCGCATTTATTATCCGATTGAGATGATATTTTGCAAACAACATTTGTTTGGCCCAAGGACGAACCCTATTGAAATTGGAGATAATCGGTAACAATTTAGATATAGCTCCCATATATATCTTCGTCCGATTTGCATTTTATTGTGCACCAAGCGTGTAATATCAGTCCGAATAGTATGGAATTTTGCACATACAGCCAAATTAGGCCTTAAAATAAGTATGCCAAATTTGATCGAAATCGGTTAAAATATAGCTATAGCTACCATATACATATATGGTTCATTCGATTTGTTATTTTTGTCCTCCGCAGCCGCAATATGCACTGTGTAACAACAATATTTGGGGAAATATATCAAATGCAGCTCAGAAATATATTTTCTAAATTTGATCGAGATCGGTTCAGATATGGATATAGCTCCCATATAAAACTTCGTCGATTCGTCGATTCGATTTACCTTTGATTGTGCACCAAACGTCTAATATTTGCCCAAATGGGATGAAATTTGGTACTTACGACCTAATTGAGTCTAGAAGCTAGTATGTCAAATTTGGTGAAGATCGGTTCAGATATAGCTATAGCTCCCATATATATGGTTCATCCGATTTGTAGTAATTGTTACCCACAGCCGTAATATGCACTCTGTAACAACAATATTCAGGGAAATATATCAAATTAGGCCTGAAAATAAGTATGCCAAATTTGATCGAAATCGGTTCAAATATAGCTATAGCTACCATATATATGGTTTATCCGATTTGTTTGTAATGCACTCTGTAACAACAGTATTTGGGGAAATATACCAATTACAGCTCAGAAATATCTTAGCTCAGAAATTTTATCGAGATCGGTTCAGATTTGGATATAGCTCCCATATATCTTTATCCGATTTCAAATTAATTGTGCACCAAATGGGCAATACAAGTCCGAATGTAAAAGATACAAATGCTTCGGAATATTTATTACTTTGAACTTTAAATTTTAATTATAATCATAGCGTGTGTGATTGAATTTTCCCATAAAAAACTTTTAATTGTTATGTGGAGCTCTACTAAATCAGCAAAGTTGTGTAGGGTATCAAAGAGTCGGCCCCAACCGACTTTAGGACTTTCTTTACTGGTTTTTCCCTTTTGTTGACATGTTTTGTTATTTTTTTTCTTCTTTTACATTTCGTTTGGCCTTCATCTTTAGATTCGCAGCTTATCTCGAGAGTTTTGTTGAGATGTTTCTTCCGTTTGTGTAGGCGAAGTATGTTTTTGTGGTTTGAAACCATCACATGAATATATAGGTATATATGTAAAACATAAGGTTTTCTACACCATTTCCATAGGAAATGCCGATGGCACAGGTGCAAGTAGGTGATCAAATTTATTACTTCTGATAATAAAATGGTCACATCAAACAAATATATATTATATTTAGAACAAATTTTTCATCAATTCGATATTAAAAAGTAAAACTGATGCTATGTTCGGACGGTTCATTTTATTTATAAATTCCATCATAAAGTTATATAAAAAACGATACAAATAATTGGAAGATAAGGTCAAAACTTCAGATTTCTTCCATTACGACTTAACAGAACCTTAACAGAAAACCCATCAAAATCGGTCATGATCGCCATATGAACTTATTTCACAATGTGCGCCTATAATTGTTCCTAATACTTTTTTTCAGTTTCAGTGTAATATCTTTGGGAAAATTGGAAGTATTGTTTTTAAAAGTTTAAGGCTGATAGCTCTGAGATAAAATATTCTTAAAGCAAGTAAGCAAAGGCTATAGCCGTGCGGGGCTGATCATTTGATACCCTACAACACTACAATATGTTAGAAGCTCCTTTATGTCCAAATCCGTTTTGGATGATTTCGCTTTTGAAATTTATGCACTCTGAGGTGCTGCTAGTTGTTGTGGTTCATTTTGCAGCTAAATATAATCTAATGGTCATCAAAAATGTTAGAACCCTTCCCTGTCCTTAAATCTCTTCACAGGCGTTTCGATTGGCTTCAATTGTGTGATCAGGATTTTTTTTCTGTTTTTGGGTCACTTGAACGCCTAAATATTTTGCGATCATCTCCAAAAGCAAGGAGCCCCTCCAGATCTCTAAATTTAGATTAATCTATATGATTTGCTTGTCTACGATATTTTGCTATATTATATATATATCGAATTCGCCTTTTGTGTATTTTGGTTATTGCTGGTAAGTTATTTTCTGAGTTTCGGTAAAATGGAAATGTTGGTATTTTTTTACACAAAAGTAGTGGTCCATTTTACCCGCTGTCCTAAACTCTAACTTCATGCGAGATTTCGTATCATTTTGTTACCTTTATAACGTCTGCAAAATCAGAAAAAAAATTTTAGTTTTTGGTCCATTTCAACCCGGACATCTTTGAAAACAATAGGCCTAGCCCTACTGAACCTAACACTACCCTTGTAAACATTTTCGTGAGGATCGGACGATAATAACCCCAACTTGTGTTGTAAGGTGAAAAAAATTACAAAATATACACTTCAATATTATAAGTCAAACTGAAAAAATCGCAGGCAGTAAAAAATATCAAAAGAAAAAAAAAAAAGACAAACTGAAAAAATCGCATGCGATAAAATATATGAAAATATAAAAAAAATTCACAAAATACCACAAAATCTATATTGACATCATTATTGGCATCTTTATATGCGATTTTTTAGATGTTATATTTGTATGCCAAGAGGGCGGTCCAGCCATTCTTGAGATATAAGCATTCTAGCTAACATCCCCTTCCTTAGTATATACACACATTGTATAAATTTCGCTACATATATCCAATATATATACACTCGGCATCTACGTAATGGTCAGAATTAGCCTTTCCGTCTATTTGTGATTTCGCCGGGACTAAAAATATTCGCGATTTGTGGAAAGTTTGACTCTTATTTAACACAAATGTTATGGTCTATTTCATCCACTAAATATTACCCGATGACCATCAAAATTGGAAGACTTCTGCCCAGCCCTAAGCTCTAGCCCCATGCTAAATTCCACTTCGATTGGTCTATAATTGCGACCTGTAGAGCAACTGCAAAATCAGGAAATTTTTCAGTTTTTGGTCCATTTCAACGACCAAATATTATGCAATCATCTCCAAAACCAATAGGCTTATATTCTGACATTATCCCCACCTCTAATTTACATTTCATGAAGATCAGGCCATAATTGCGACCTGTAGAGTGATTACAAATTAACATGGGCAGACGGACAGACGGACGGACGGACATATATAGCTACATCGACTCAGCTCGGCGAGATAGGAAGATCCATATATACTTTCCTATGTGGGAAACCAATATTTCGAGGTGTTACATAATTTTTGGCCCAATCAAACTTATGATACCCCCCACACATAGTGTTGTAGGGTATTAAAATTGTTTTTTTTTCATAAAAATCTACGTTTTTATACCCTCCACCATAGTATGGAGGCTATATTAAGGTTGTCATTCTGTTTGCAACACTTCGAAATATAGATTTTATACCCTACAAATTTTTTTTTAGGTTCTTAATAAGAATAAAATTCTAAGTCGATTGAACGATGTCCGCTCGTCTGGCTGTCACTCTTGCTTCCGAACGAATTGAAGAAGGTCGATAGAATTTTACTCCGACATGTGTTTGATATTTTGACGATTTTAGCGACACTATTCACTGGAACTGTTTCAAAATTTCTTGTTTTTAGTTCTTAACGCCTACTTCAGTCTGTGACAAAAAATTGCCTATGCAGGTCCAAGACTTTGTATAGTTCCACATATTCGGTATTTTTATGATTTTTACAGCATTTGTATAAGTTTTTTTTTTTTTTTTGAAACTTGGCTAATTCTAATATTTGCAACAGTGCTAAGTCAAGTGCGAAAATGGACAATATCGGTCTACTCCACCAAGTACCTCCCCCACAAAAGGATAACATTTTCTATAATTATAACTCCTAAAAAAAGGGGGTGAGAGCCCGATTGTCTTCAAATTACATACATCAAAATATTTTTGTTAACCCAAAGTCTGGTGTGAAGATGGAATATATCGGACCACTCCTTCTGGTACCACCCCCACAAAGGTTCAAAATTTTGAATATTCATGAAGCTTATAAAACGCGAAATTAACATGCGATTCCATCAGACTTAACACGTCGCTATATTTCTACCAACACAAGATTTGTTATAAATATGGTTTCGTTCTGTCTGGTATCTCGCCCACAATAAGTAAAAGTTTTGAATAACCAAAAGCATGCAACCGGTTCTCTTCATATTTCTCACGTCCCATTATTTCTACTAACACAAGAACTGCTCTGAAGGTGGAATATATCGGTCAACTCTTTCTGGCACCTCCCTACAAAGGATCAAAATTTGTATATCCAGGAAGCTCATAAAAAAATAGTGGTATATGCAAAAGGTAATGAAAATCGAACATTCATGTATATTAACCTTAATGGGGAGTTAACAGAAGGGGTGGGTCAATATATATATATATTTATATGGGTGAAATTTGAAGAGAATTTGATGCTTTGTTCGTATTTTATGAGCTTCATGGGCATTCAAAATGTTTACTTCCATCTCTAACAAAAAATTTGGGATATGTGAATTTTAGATTAAGTTGGATACTTATATCGCATTTTATGGGAGTTTTGATTTTTCAAAATGTCAACACTTTTATGGGGGAAATAGCAGAAGA